GATATCGAATCAAAGTCAGGATAAGGTCTTTGAACTTTCTTCAACATTCCGTCTGGCTTGCCTTTGTGAGCTCCCGACACCTTCAATGCCATATCCTTGATCTGCTCATACGAAGAAAATAAAATTCGAAACGACAAAAAGTTTACGAGGAAGATCACGATAGTATATGGTTGTGTTTAGCTTAACAAAACATAAAACATAAACATAAACATCTTGTTAACCTTATGTTTTGTAATAATAGGTTTATATTCTGTTCTGATTTTTATGTATGTTTTTTTCAAAAATATAAGAAATCAGAAGCATCAATTGCAGATTTTAAAATATTATGTTAAAAAAAAAGTAACCCTTTACAGTCTGAAGCTAATTGGAGGTGTCATCAGATTTTAATTTCTTTTATTTACTTTTTTTTTTTCTGCACAATTGCAGATTGTAATCTGAAAAAAAAAAGGCTAAAATAGCCCTGTTTTGTAGTATTTAATATGGCTGTATTAGTACTACTTTAAAGTCATCCAACATGTTCATGACCTTCATTTTTCCCAGTTTTTTAGTGAGGTGTTGTAAGAAAAAGGACAGGCATTCCAATGTGGGCCATGCATGTAATAAGATGAGTCTTTTTGTGTTGTCATTTCTCAAGACCCTCCACAACATAACGAACCGTTTTCGCGGTAATGTCCCAATAGTGATAGAGATTGCAACATAACGTACTATTACTGATGAGGAGAAAGTTAGTGTACCGAAAAAAGACTTTAGACAAGTAAACGAACCAAAATTGATTGTTTTACTACTTGTAACTATGATAACACTCTTTTTTTTAAGAGATTTTTGTACCACATAAATATTCTAGTTGAGAAAAACAGAGATGCACAGTCCCGCTCACCTGCCCACCGTGGGCAGTGCCCACTTTTTTGTCTTATATGAAAAACGTATTCTCAGAATACGTTTTTCATATAAGACAAAAAAGTGGGCACTGCCCACGGTGGGCAGGTGAGCAGTTTCACAGAGATGCATACTAAGGACTAAGGTTAAATTTTTGACCATCTTGTGAAAATTCGAGTTCTAAGATAAAGTTCACATAGATTATAACGTACTTCCTTTTGCTGACTAATTTTCTTTTTCTGCAATCCCTATGCATGAAGCTCGCACTTTATTCTTTATTAAAAGAAGGGAAGAACTATATAAGTTATATTTTAGATTAATTTTAGATGTGAGTGACAAAAATATTGGTTAAAATTTCTCATAGCAACTTGTTGCAGCGGGAACCTTTAGTGCAGTGCTACTACCGTGTGCCCTGGCACACCTAGCACGGTGTGCCAAGGCAGTTTAAAATAAACATGTTACACAATAAAATGAACATGTTACACAATAAAATAAATATGTTCATTTTATTGTGTAACATGTTCGTTTTAAACTGCTTTAGCACACCTTGCTAGGTGTTCTAGGGCGCACCTAAATATTTGCCCCTTTAGTGTAATTGTGATCCACACAACTCGTGCACATAGGGAAAAAAGCAATTCACAAGATTCCAATTTTAGAAGAGTACTACAAAAAAGGTAAAAGAAATTACAAACAACAAAAATAGTCCATGTTTAATCAAATTACCAAAATGAAAAAAGTTCCAACACAATACAAAAACCTTGATGATTAGTATTATCTAACAAATACTCTCTTTGAAGAGTGTCATATGTGAAAAATAATTAAATATTGCAATATTCATAAGTTTGAAAGTCAGCTAAAATTTGTTTAATGTAGGACTGCATACGAATCGAGCAGCTCGCGAGTCGAGTTTGACCAAACTCGAGTCGAGCTCGAGCACAAGTTCGAGTCTAGCTCAAGCCTATATATTGAATTGTCGAGTGGCTCGAGATATATGTTAATTACTATAATACCACTTGTATATATGTATCATAATATTATAGTGTACTTCATGGTAATTTTACAAAATTACTTGAAATTTCCAAACCGAATCCGAGCTGAGCCCTAACATTTTGAATTCGAGTCGAACTCGAGCTATTGTATTTTTTTTTCGAGTTGAGCTTGAGCCTCATACATTAAACTCGAGCAGGTAAATAAAAAAATCAATTCTGCTCGATAAGGTCAATGTTCAACTCGACTCGGCTTGTTTTCAGCCCTTATTTAATGTTATGTCACGTCAACGAATTTAATTATGGGACTAAGAAAGTTAATTAGGATGATGAGATTAGAGGTTGTTACTACTCTTGGTATATGTCCTTGTCATTAAATAAAGAATGATGGAGATGCAAATGTAGGCATCTATTTATGAAATCATGAACATATCATATGGCAAACTTGAAAAGGGAGAAAAAAAAAATAAAGTTTCAAGGGGCCAAGGCATTTTTGGGGACCAAGATTATGACACATGATCCAAGGCATGGAGTGACCATGCCCCTTTCAATTTTTAAGTACTTGTCTTTGCCACCCCAAAATTGTGCCCCCACTTAAGAAGCTTTATCATCTTTTTTGAAAAGCACATTCTAATTTATTATTGTAACATTAAGTAAATGGTATATATAAAAAATATATACTAGTAGAACACTCTGTATTACACGAGTTCTAGTTCAGATATTTATACTTTAATTATCAAAAAAAGAGAAATATTTGTTTAAAATTAAAATACTTTTAAAAAATTACATTATTATTTATATTTAAAACGATACCCAGCTTACCAACTAATTTTTCTAACTCGTCCCATATATATATATATATATATATATATATATTGACTTTATTCACGAATTTATTTAATTGCTAACTGATTTTATTACTTTTTAATTAATACTAATATATGGCTTAGTTCTCATTATAAATATAAATATATTTAATTATTTTATATACAAAATACAGTCATCAAATCGAAACTATTGATAAAAAATTATGGTAAAAAATCCTAACGAGAAGGCGAATTTTACCGCTATCAACTCTCGATTTACAGTTAAATAAAGTGAGAACACTATTGATCCTCGCGTACGATAAAAGTAAAAAAGTCCGAATTGCTAAAGGAGCCACGAGTGTTTTGTGATTT